TCTTCCTGGAAGTCGGCCCCAGGGCCGTCAAGAAGTGGCCCCGGGCCAACAAAGAATGCCTCGGGATGGGGTCGAGAGGTCCGCAGGCCCTCGGCGTCGTCTGAGTTGTCACTGTCGTCATCGTCGTCCTGTTCGTTGGTATGGCCACATGAGTACTGACAACGGATCGTGGGCACAGATTGCATGCGACTGGGAGCCAGAGAACCGCGTCCAGCGGCGTGGGGGACAGTGCAAACGCTGGCTGGCATGCACCGTCGAGCACCAGAACTGAGGGCGCTGAGGCGCCCCCGCGCCACCCGTCTCGGGACGGCCTCTGGGCTGATGGAGCGCGTCGTTTGTTCGTTCGTCCTGTTCGTCGTCGACGCCGTCGTCGCCGACGAGGTCGCCGTCGGCGGCTGTCTGGGGCTGTTGGGCAGCCCCCTCCACGGCGTCGTCGCCTCCGCGAGTTGTGCCGGCTCGGGCGCCTCGGGCCGCTGCCCAGCTGTGAGTCGGGCCTGTCCCCTTACAGGAGGAAGGTTCTAGAGTCGTAAAGAAATAGTATGGTGACGATTTGTCGTGCTCTCCTAGTTATTTTTGCATAGTGTTTGGACTGCGTTGAATTATTCTTCCAACATCCGCCTGTAGGAGGACATGCCCGACCTGAGCCTAGCTAGAGGGCAGAGGGAAGAGGAGGAGGAAGAGGACCAGAGCAAGCAAAGGACCGACCACAACGCTGTTTGGCTTGGTTTGGGTCATTATGTTGTTCTTCGTTCCGTCGTTCGTTATTGTCTCGTTTCGTTTTTCATTGCTGTTTTGAACGCCCCGTTTCGTCAATCGTTTTTCTTTGGCACCTGCTTCGTTTTCAACGTTCGCTTTTAACATTGGGCCTCGTGGCGTTGTTCGCTGTAAACGCCATTTCGTTTTAAACATCATTGTGTGGTCGGTCCTGGGCTGAGCAAACCAAAGATGCATAATCAATGGTGCTACACCCTCCCGTCCCAAGCCCCCTCCTCCGAAGTCACTAAAGGCCTTCCTTTGCCCTTCAAGGAGCGCCCCTTTGGGCAGCCAGCACCCTCCCTGTAGGCCTGCCATTCAGGCAAGAGCCTCGCTCTGAAAACGACCTAACTGCCCTGCATCCTTCCAGCCCGTAATAACGAACGCGCAAGGGTATGATCATATAGTTCAAAGGGGTAGATGTCCAGCGAGATCCCTGTATTGAATGTTTAGCCATGGTCCGGTATCAAAAAAAGAAAGAGTTTGCTGGAACCAAGTTGGCTCCTAAGTGTTCCCGCGTTCTCCTGCGTCTGATCCGCCTGCGTCTTCGGCGTCGTCGTCTAGCTTTCCGTGATCATCGTCATCCTCCTTTTCCCCCGCATCCACGTATTTCTCTTCCTCGTCCTCCCCCTTCCACTGCTCCTCCTCCTCCTCATCATCATCATCCCCCTTTTCTCTTCCTCCCGCTCCTCCTCCTTCATTCTGTCTCCTTCTAAATAACTTCTCCCTGCCGCACCCCGAGGCAAGTTTGGGCGTTTCGCCTGAGACTTCCTCACCGCTCATGGCCCTGAAGTTAAAAAACTGGCAACAGCTTCACACATGGAGGGCGGGTGGTGTTCATGATGTGGCTCTTGCTTTAGCGCCGCGCACATTCGTTTTTAAAGATGTAAAGTGTTTCGCGGTTTGAGGGCGGGTCGTTTTCAAAATGTAGTCTCGCTTTAGCGCCGCGCACATTCGTTTTCAAACTTTGCAAGAGCTTCACGGATTGAGGGTGGGTGGTTTTCAAAATGGGACTCTCGCAATAGCGCCGCGCACATCCATTTCCAAAAAATGCAAGAGCTTCACGGATTGAGGGCGGGTCGTTTTCAAAATGTAGTTGTCGCTTTAGCGCCGCGCGCATTCGTTTTCAAAATTTGCAGGAGTTTCACGGATTGAAAGCGGGTGGTTTTCAAAATGTGGTTCTCGTCTTAGCGCCGCGCACATTCGTTTCAAATTTTGCAAGAATATCACGGATTGAGTGCGGTTCCTTTTCAACATGTGGCTCTCGCCATAGCGCCGCGCACATTCTTTCTAAACGTTTGCAAGAGCATCACGGATTGAAGGCGGCTCCTTTTCAAAATGGGGGTCTCGCCCTAGCGCCGCGCACATTCTGGATCCGAAATTTCAAGAGTTTCAAGGACTCCCATGATCGACGTACCAGAACTTGCGTTTTGGAAGGATTCACCGTTTGCAGGGCGCAACAGTTAGGATGCTTCGCGGAGTTGAGGTCCCAGGAATGGCGTGCCGGCACGATTCAGGATCGTCAAGACGCAACAGTCAGGTTCATCTGTGGCGTTGGAATGCCGAGAATCATTTTTTGGCATGCTTCAAGGTCTTCAAGCGGTTGTCTTCCAACGAGGCAGGTCCCTCTGTGGAAATGAACCGTTGTAGGGGCCTATGAAGAGGGAGCTTGAGGGGAGGGTTTATTCCAACATCGTTGGTGACTCTTGGGTTTACACTGGTCCTCCTCATCCTCCTTCTCCTGCTCCTCCTCCTCCTTATCCTCCTCCTGGTCCTTATCCTCGTCATCCTCCTCATCCTGATTATCCTGGTCCTTCCCCTCATCCTCCCCTTGCGCGTAAGTGTTGGCATCGTGCGTTGTCGCTTCACCCTGCGCCAGCAACGTCGAAATCTGTGGGGGGGGGGGCATTTGCCCTAGACGAGGGGCACCCGAGCGTCTGGCCCAGACGAGTGCTACGTGGGGCCATCTGGGCCACGCGGGGAATCTGTGCACCGTGGGCCATTTGGGCCCAAATGACTACCTGGGCCGCCTGGGCGATCTGTGCAGCCTGCGCCACTTGAACCACCTGGGCCGCCTGAGCCACGTAGACCGAGAGCCCCACACGGGGCCTCCAGATGCTTGCTGGATCTCGGTCTCCAGCCTGGAGAGTGTTCTATAGGCTGGGCGCCCCAGCGTGCGTCATGTCCCTCCGCCAACCCCCAAGCACTGCCCAGCCTCCCCCCCTGGCGCAGTGCGCCCTTGGCACTGCCGCAGCGCGCGCGCGTCACGCACCAAAGCCTGCTAGCCAGGTGTGCTCGCAGCGCTTGCGCGCATGACTGGATCGCAGCAGCGATCATGTGGTGCTCGCAGGCGCATTGGTGCTCGCAGGCACGATCCAGCGCTGGCAAGCTGCTGTGGTGCCCACAGGAGTTATTACCGGTGCTCGGGTACTCGCGGGCACGCTGGGCAATCGCATGCGCGAGACTGGCGCCCGCGGTCATGTTGCAAAGAGGAGAAGCCAGAAGAGCCGGAGCAGGACGGTAAGTCGGACGACCTAGTCGATTGCGTTCCCGGTGTCGATTCGTGATCCGGGGCGCCGAACATGAAGGAGAGAGGAGGAGGAGGAGGAGGAGGAGGAGGAGGAGGAGGAGGAGGAGAAGGAGGAAGAAGAGGAGGAGGAGGAGGAGGAGAGGGAGGAAGAAGAGGAGGGCCAAGATGCCAGAGGTCGTCGTCGCCCAGTCGTGCAGCCGTCGTCGTCGTCGACAAGTCGTCGTCCGTCTTCGTCGTCGTCCGTCGTCGCAGTCGTCGCCGCCGCCGTCGTCGTCGTCTTCGTCGTCGTCTGCGTCGTCGTCGTCGCCGGCTGCGTCGTCGTCTTCGTCATTGTCGTCACCCAGTCGTCGCCCAATCGTCCCCTAGCCGTCGTTGTCGTCGACGACCACTCATCGTTGTCGTTGTCGTCGTCTGCATCTGCGTCGTCGTGGCATCGTCGTCCAGACGTCCAGACGTCCAGTCGCGCAGTCGTCGTCGTCCGTCGCCCATCGTCGTCGTTTCTTGTCATCGTAAGCCAGTCGTCGTCGTTGTCGTCGTCACCGTCGACGTTGTTGTCGGTTTTCGTCCAGTCGTCCAGTCATGCAATCATTCAGTCGCCATCGTCCAGTCGTCGTCGCCGTTTCTGAGTCGTCGTCGTCGTCGTCGTCGTCCTCGTCGTCACAACGTCCAGGTGCGCAAAGAGCGCTCTGATGGCGCCGAGGCGCACGTGAGCGCTCTGGTGGTGCTGGGGCCCGCTGCGTCACGTAATCCCCCCACCGCCCATAACGCCTGTTATCACCTCGAATGGCAAAACTTCGTAGGAAAAGGATACGCAATAGGCCAAGCAGCTTCCAAGATTGATTTCAAGTGATGTTCCAAGCTCTACCAAGACGCTGCACAGGCACTTGCTACGCGGCACTCACCCGCGCCGTGTGGAACGCGTGGGCTACCTAGGCCACCTAGGCCACCTAGCATACGTGTCTGTGTCTGTATGATTTCACAGCAACGACGACTTGCTTGTTCCTGGGCTTCTGGGGCGTTGTCTCACGCACCCAAACGGCGCGAAAGAAATTGCCACACGACCGATGTGGCAGCGCAGTAGGTCAGCAGCTTTGGTGTATGGGAATAGTTTGTTGAAGTGAACGATTTCCACGTGATTTCACGCCAGAGCCCTTCGCTTCAATTATCTCGGCCTCCCCAGTCTTTACGTGCTTCAGTTCGGCGGTGAGTGTCGTGCTTATTGAGGCAGTCATACACATAATGTCAGATATATGGTCTCTTCTGCGGCAGCTGACTTGGCAAAACACGTCTGCTAATTTGCAGTCAGGGTCCAGATCGCTGAATTGATGCAACGTGCGGTGCGCAATAACGTGTGACGCGTGTTTGGTTTCCACAGGATCTGTTTGCTTATTACCTGGCCGGCCCACCATTGCGCCATGAACAGGATGGTTGCGCCGCGAGTGTGAACAAGTTCGCTCGTGAGCCAGTTGGCAAAAATAGTCCGAGACCCTGCGGGGTACACCCCAATCGTCCATCCCGGTGCCTGTGTGCCTTACCCTCGAGCGTTCAAAGGCCCATGGGTCATTCGAACGTCAGTTCACCTCCCGTCCAGGACCACCCCTCCGCCCAGATCATGGCAGCTACCCGACCATTCGAAGATCTGTTTGCCGCCGATTCCCCGCGAGCGCCCCCGTCATCCCAGGAGCCTGGCGGTGATGACTGGACCGAGGACATCCAGGAGCCCACGTGACGCACCGTCGTCCGCAGAAGCGAATTCTTGCTAATGATGGGGACTGATGATGGCTGGGAGTTGGAGCCGTTTGGGAGTCTGAGGTGGCCCCGCACTGGTCCCAGCCAGCAGCAAGGGGGTGCGAGGTTCCGGGTCCTAGGTTCGAGTAGTTGTTGTTACCTTTCTCGGTCTCCAGGGGCCGTTTTCGGGCCCCAGGCCCGTCAAAAACGGATGATATGGGGTGGAAAAATATTTCAGATGGACAGACCGCAGCAGACCTCGGCAGGGGTCTGGGGACCGATTTTGAGCGGACTTGGTTTTGCTCTCCTTCTTGATCGATTGTCTGGGGCCCCATCCAATTCAGACACCCCTGCCGTCCCCAGCCAGAGAGGCAGGTCGGCAAGGAGGCACGAAGGAGACCGAGGTCTGGATACTGGATCCTTACTTCTGCCGTGCACGCGGCGTCTCTGGCAACATACGTTTCGAACCCCCGCGATTGGAGAAGAGGCTTGACTCTGCGCAAGATTCGAGGCTGGCGCGGAGGCTTTTGTATGTGATTCGGGCGCGCAATCGTTTTTGTTTCTCGTACGTGGGCGCGGCCCTTTGCGAGAGGAGCGGTCCAAAGTTGCAGATGGCATCCTGGAGAACGATGCGAATGGGCGACCGTGCAGTGCTGAACCATTGTCCAGGCTTCCGCTATCATTAATAAGCTCTGACGACGTCAGTGCGCGGGTCGAGCACGATGGCCCCAACGCCCGAAATTCAGTCCAGTTACTTGCCGTGCCTGCCCATACCAGAGTTGGACGCACCTGGGGCGCTCCAGAGCGGGAATCGCCACCGAGGCATCGAAAAGCCGGCGTCTCTTCCTCGGTGGGAGCCGACGGAAGCAAAGTATGCGCCCGCAGGGCACGTCAACATGTTTGGACGCAAAGTTTCCAGAGCCGACCACACGATGTGGCCACCCTGGGCGAGAGCTGGACGCATGTCTTTCCTGCGCACGGCCGTGTGTGCGAGCGGCTACTCGGCAGGTTCGTGTCCTGTCGGGACAGCGGTGACCCCAGCAAGGGCGCCGCCAGTGGCCGCTACTCTGCATGGGGTATTCATCAATGGGGGGGGGGGGGGGGGGCGATTAACATCCCGACTGAGCTTGCCCAATCCCGCCCCCTCCGTCCTCCTCCCCCTCCTCGTTCTCCTCCTCTTCCTCCAGCCTCCCCTCCACCCGTGCCGACAGCACGTGCCCAACCGCCCCAGCGGATTCAAGGGGGGGCGCTCATTGTCCCATCCAGAGTAATCGGTCAGTCTGCAACCATCCACCCGGCATCAGGAGCCAACTCTGGGGTCGCAACGACATGCCATAAGATCCGCCGTTGCAGGAAAAATGCAACATCGCAAGAGATCACCACTGGAGCCCCGGACCCCACCTTTCTGCGCCATTTTTCGAGCCAGATCGATCTGTGAGGGTGTGAGGGTCCCAGGGCCCGAAATTGGGCGAAAACGCCCGTTGTGAGAGAATTGCAACCCCAGTGGTGATTGTTTTTGATGTTGCATGTGTTCTACAACGTCGGATCTCAGGGACACCTCTTCTTGCAGAAGCTGGCCACTGCGGCGCGAGCATCTGATCGCGGGGGACGCCGCTGTGAGGCTCGACCCTCTGGCCGGCTGCTGCCTCGGCGCGAGCCCCTGCGAGCGCTGGTTTGTCGCGGAGTGCTTAGTTGGCCTTGTCCATTGGGCGTGTCCAGCGACAATTTCCGGTCACCGGGATGGGGTTGAAAGCTCGAGGGCCCCATGGCGCAACAACAAATCGCCTTTCAGGATGTCTGGGGAGGACGGAGGAGGGCTCAAGGCATGACGCTGGGGCATCAAGCCTGGGGCGTCGACGGGGTTTGCTTGGCCGAGGCTTACAGGGAGCGGTGGCGAGCGCCAGTGAGAACAAGCAGTCACAAGGGGGAGTTACGATGCGAGCTCGAACGCAGCGCAGAGACTCCTAGTGTCAGGGGATCGCAAACATGGATCAAGGTGGCGTGGATTAGCGACGGGTCCACTTTCCATTTGAAATCGCACATTTCCGCCGCGGCGGCACCAGCCGCATGTTGGGGAGGGCACCTCCCCCGATACATAGATTTGGCGACCGCGCGCCAAATCCATGGATGGATCGCTAATCCACGTTTGCGCGCCCCTGATCAAGTCGGGCCTGTCCCTCTACAGGAGGAATATTCAAAAATGATCAAAAACATGATATGGGGACGACTCACTTTTAAATAATTTTTGCCTATGTTTGAGTATTTGTGGAGTATGTTTTATTTCTCGTCAACAATCCGCCTGTAGGGGGGACAGGCCCGACCTAGAGAGAAACGCGCCTTGCGCCCCAGGCCGCAAAGGTGCCCTTCCCCCTCCGGAACCGCGGCGCGAGTGCGCAGAGAGGCCACCGCGGGGCCCGCAGCCACGAGGCGCGCAGTTGGGGTGCACCAGCGACGCCCCTCGGCGACGCCCTGGCTGGCGACGGCTGCAGGCCCGCTGCCCGATGAGGCTTTGGCTGAAGTCGGGCGTGTCCCTCCACAGGAGGAATACTCACGAGTAGTCAGAACCTACCGTACGCAGTCGATCCCCTACTCGAAGACTTCCTTCTCACACTGCACGGCCTCCCAGCCGCCTCCCCGCCGATTGCTGCGCTGGCCTGCCTGCGGCGGGCGGCCTGCGCCGGCTGCCTCCCAGCCGCCAGAGGCCGCCGAAGATCGCCGATGACCGCCTAAAGTTCGTGGGCAGCAAGGGGCCCATGATCGAACACGCAAGATTGGGAGCATCTAGCGAGCAGTACTCACCCGTTCTCCTGTACTCCTCGAGCGTCGTCGTCGTCGTCGTCGCCGCCGTGGTCGTCGAGGGGGTCGTCGTCGTGGCCGTCGTTGTGGAAATACCACCTGGGATAAAGAAGGGCACACTTTCCCACCACCTTTTGGGGCGGGGGATGCACTGTGGGGCCTCTTTCGTAGGTATTTTCCCGCTTCCCGATTGCTCCCACGTTTGTTTCCCCACGTTAATGTCCACCCGAGAGACGTAAAAACGGCCTCCAGTTTGGGGTCGAGAGGTCCAGGGGCCAGCGACACGAAAATCGAGTTGGCGGAGACACGTGCTCCCGTGTCCCCCTTTTCGGCATCAAATCGGATCGGGCCGGCCAAGGTCGATATCGAATCGAATCGAACCGAAATGGACCCTGGGCCGCGCACGTGCCTCGGGCCATGATCTGCGGCCCCCCCCCCTGCTTTGACGCTTTCCCGAAGGGACGAGACCTTCACGAGGCTGCTGGGCCCGCCTCCTCCCTCCCCGCCGCCAAGAAAAGAAGAGGGTACTCCACATCTCGTTATCCGTGAGGGCTTCGCCCCATGCCGCCGGCCCCCTGTCTCGGAGAATGGGAGATGCAAAAGCTAAATCATGAGGTCTGGGCGCCGCCGTGAAGCAGTGTCGGGACCTGTTTGTTTTTGGACCCTGACCCTACGGATCTGCATGATGGGTGCCACCGAATTTCAGAAATGTGACAAATCCCATCTGTTTTTGGACCCTGACCCTACGGATCTGTGTGAGGGGTGCCACCGGATTTCGGAAATGTGGCAAATCCCTTGTGTTTTTGGACCCTGACCCTGCCGATCTGCGTGAGGGGTGCCAGCGAATTTCAGAAATGTGGCAAATCCTTTGGTGTTTTTTGGAACCCGAATTTCAGAACTGTGGCAAATCTCATGTGTTTTTGGACCCTGACCTTGCCGATCTGCGTGAGTGGTGCCAGCGAATTTCAAAAATGTAGCAAGTCCCATATGTTTTCATTACCCTGACCCCGCCGATCTGAGTGAGGGGTGCCAGCGAATGTCAGAAATGTGGCCAATCCTTTTTGTGTTTTTTGCACCGTGACCCAGCCGATCTGCGTGAGGGGTGCCAGCGAATTCTAGAAATGTGGCAAATCCCGTGTGTTTTTGGACCCTGACCCCGCCGATCTGCGTGAGGGGTGCCAGTAAATTTGAGAAATGTGGCAAATCTCTTGTGTTTTTGGACCCTGACCCGCCGATCTGCGTGAGGGGTGTAATTTCTACCCACCCCAGCAATTCAGACAACACGCTCAGGGCGTGCTAACCCTGCCCGTTTGGGCCTCCCCCCCTTCGCGCGGCCCATCGACAAGGAACAGCAAGTAGCAAGAAGCAGAATTGTAACAGTGGAAACTGGAAGCTGCGAACATTCGGCCTGCAGCCTGGTTGCCCCACAAGGGGGCCGGCGGACTAAAAGGGAGGGGGTCACAAGCCTCCCAGACGAGCAGTTCTAGACCGCCCTCCCAGGCCAGCCATGATGAAAGGGCGGCCTTTTGCCTATACCCCTCTGGAACCCTTCAAGACATCTCAAAGCAGACCCCCCCAAATGTGATCCCCCCCACCCCACTCTTATGGTGAATTCCGGGATCAGCGCTGGGATCGGATACAGTGGAGGCCCATGCCACGAAACACCTTACTTGCCTCCAGGTGCCCTGGGTTTCTTGGGTTTCGATGGCTTTGCCAAAAGAAGCGTGACGTTCCCACACCAAAAATAAATCGATGGATATCCTGGGGCCTCAGGGTTGGGTTTCATGTGGAAGGTTTCTTGTGGACTAGCCTCCACTGCATTCGAGTGACCTTTCGCCAGAGTGACCGCTGGTGCGGCCCCAGAGCGTGGCCCCAGCCGTTTGCCTGCGTGCTTGCATCTGGCCCCCCCCGCGGGGTCGATTCGGGGAGGGTGCCCTAATGTGTTTCGGTTTTGTTGGATGCTCTCGCGCATCCTGGGGAAGGGTACCCTTGGATGCTCTGCTCGCTTTGACCAGCGGAGGGTCTCATGGTCTTGATGGTTGTTTTTCTGGCCTAGGTCCGACTGTATGCGATGCGACTCCTGCTCGCCCCAGACAACCCACCACGCGTGCGACTTGACATTTATTCGCGCGAGGTCAAGACCCCCCTTCCGATGTCTCCCTGGTGCTATGCCAGCGCTGCTGCTCGTCCCGG